TGTCATGGTGTCCTGGAAGCGCAAGCCTCTTCCCAGCGTGGGGACTGTGCTGCAGGCAGGGGTGGGAGCGGAGCAAGCAGAGCTGCTGCAGCCTGCACGGGGCGAGTGGCAGCACCAGGGCTTGGAGGAGAGGCTGTAGCTCCCCGAGCTCTTGCTAGTGCGCTGCCACTGCTTACCCCACACAAGCTGCAGCAGTTCTGCCTGCCCCATTCCCACCCACAGCATAGCCCCTGCCCTCCTCGCCTCGCTGGGAAGAGTCTTGTGCTTCCAGGACACCATGACAGGACCTGTTGCCGTGTCAGGGTCACTCCCCCATCGTTGTTCCAGTGGCGTGGTGGGGGGTGTGGCCAGAGGCTGGCCAGCATGGCCCTCTTAGGCAAAGGGGGCAGGGAGGGGGTTTGTTTCCCCCCTCCCTCCAGTGTCTGGCAAAGGGGGCAGGGAGGGGGCTTATTTGACCGCTTGCCCTGCTCAGGGAGTTATTGGCAGAGGCAGTCGAGGCTAGCAGGCTCCTTATATGGTCTCCTGGGGGCAGAGTGGGGAATAAACCCCTTCTCTGCCCCCTTCGCCTCAGGGGGACATGCCAGCTGGTGCGTGTCACCTTTGCAGCAGTGAGCGGGGCAACCCTGACACAGGCTGCTGTGTTCTGGCTAGGCAGACCCCGGCTCGGGTCTGTGCCACTGGGACAGGGGATGGAGGGGGGAATTAAACTCCCATCTCCACTCACTTCATGCTGCAGCCAGAGGTGGCCATGCCCCCACTGCTGGAGCAGTGAATGGAAAATTGCCTAGAAGGGGCTGCTGCACCCTTGCCTGGCAGACCCTGTCTGGGGTTTGTGCTGTTGGGACAGGGAAGGGATGCAGGGAATAAACCTCTTCCCTGCCCCCTTTGCCTTAGAGAAGCTGGTGTCTGGCCACACCTCCACCCTTGCTTCAGCTAGGGAGCAGAGGGATGGGGCCAGCCATGCTCCATTGGAGCAGAGAGCACAGCACGGCTCAGGGTTGCAAAGCATGCTGGGATGCTGGGGGAATCTGGTTTGACTTAAACCAGGAAGGGGGCTGGGACAGAAGCTTCATACATTGATTTGACCCAAATCAGTTAAGTTTAATACTGCATTCAATGAGGTTTACTGTAAACCAGTTTTGGACATTTTGTAACTGGGTACATTTCGTAACGGGGTAAGCCATTTTGTAATGGGGTAAGCCTCATTAACCCTGGTCTTTCACCACTTATGGTATGTGTCTGCCTGCCACATGTGCACGGATAAAGTATCATTTTTCAGGTAATATTCACGGAAATATTGGGACCCATTTGTCAAGATCAGTGGTAGTTCTGTGAATATTCCGTGAAAAATGATACTTTACTCATGCATGAGCCACAAATTTTTGACCAGAAATCTATGATTTTCTCAGGCCCCCACATATATGTGATGTTCCATCTGCAGCCACACAGGGAGATCATTCTTTTGATATATACTGCTTTACCTCTCCTTTCTTTCAGCCTCCACCTTTTCTTCTATATCCCTTTGCAGGTGCGATAGAAATGATATCTTCCCCTACGGGAACAGGTAAAGAACACTCTTT